TGGGGTAACTCCATTTAGGGTACTTATAACTCTACTTATAACCTACTTACTAAGTCCCCCGGGCCTCCAAGTAAGCCCGACGTGAGGAAAACATCCTCCTCGATCCGGGCTCCCGTGCGGTCCGAGTTGCTGACTTCGGTTCGGCGAAGGCGGCTTTTAATTTAGGGTGAGGGTTTAGAGTTTAGGGTTATAGGGTTTAGGCCTTAGGGTTGGGGTTTAGGGCTTCGGGGCTAGGGCTTCTGGCTTATGGGGCTCATAGGCTTTAGGGTCCAGGGTTTATAGGGTTTTGGGCTTGCGGTTTACGGTTCAGGGGGTTGAGGGTTTTCGGGGGTCTGAGCTGTTCCATGGGGGCCGTGACAGCTAGTTAGAATAAGTTTGGGGGGCATGCTAGTACTAGGCGTTTCTGAGGGACAACCGAGATTCTAAGTGGATGCTAGCACTAGGACGAGGTATTTCCGACCCCCGCTTCATCCGGCGTTCCCTGGATACCCTGTGGATCCAACGACCTAGTTGTTTTTTGGGTTCAGGGGTTTAGGGTTTAGTCGTCGGCCCTAAGCCCTAAACCCCAAACCCCTCAACCCTAAACCCCCAGACCCTAAACCCAGCGAAGGAGCCCAAAGGCCCCTTAACCCAAAGTGCGAATCCCCCCCAACAATTGCAAGTCTTAGGCCCAAGCAGGCCCCATAGTAAACCCGTGATTGGGATGTTCCATCCCTTGCCAGGTCTCTGGGGCTTTTATACGGTTCAGGACTTGGGTGAGCTTATCAGGCTCAGGGCTTGTAGGGCTTGGCTTGGACGTTTCGGGCTGTTTGGATCAAGCTGTCTGGGCTTTGTGGCCCCAAACCCAAAATCCTAAACCTAAACCCTAAACCCCAAAGCCCCTAGCCTCTAAGCCCCAGACCATCTGCCGCAAAGCTCAGGGACACCTTCAAATCCGCTTGTCTAAGGCGTGAGCATGGGTGCAGGGTTCGGGCTTCCTATGGTGTTAGGCATGAAAGGAGGTTTTTTTGGGTTTAGCGTTTAGGGGTTTAGGGGTTTAGGGAGGGTTTCGGTTTGAAGCAGAGGGTTTACCTTGAACTACCAAACAAGGCAACTACTAATTGGAGTGGATGAAAAAGAACCCCACAAAAATAGGTTGTGGCAGTTCATGTTGCTCGGGTCCCTACTCGGCTTATGTTATGGAACTACAAAAAGGTGCTCAGGGTCTAGGATGATCGTTTTCGTGAGGGTTCCGGGGTTCTACATCGCTGCTGCCAACCCTAAACACTAAACCCTGAACCCTAAACCCTAAACCGTTGGCGCACAGGTTCTGGATGGCGAGCCTTCCAGCAGCTTTCTGTTTGCACCGGGGGTCGTGACAGGCTTCCAGGGCGCCCTTTGAACTACGGTTTAGGGTGTAGGGTTTAAGGTTTAGGGTTTAGGGCTTAGGGCTTAGGGCTTAGGGTTTAGGGTTTAGGGTTCAGCTTTGAACCCTCAACCGTAAACATTTAACTGGTTACAAGAGGATTACTTTTAGGGTTCTCCTTAAGGGGTTGACTTGCTAATTGGCAAGGGCGGAGGGCTTAGAGCTACAGCGACAGCTTTTGTTTTGTGGTGCTCTGGTTTAGGGGTTTCTATTGTTGAAGCAATTCCGCCAGGAATACGTTGCATGTGCCCACCCCCACAGGTACAGAGCCCATACTTCACAAATGGGATGCACAGGTGGGACGCGCAGGCCTTAAAGGGCAGCCTGCATGCAACTGACGAAGAATGACACATGGCAACAACAGTTTCCGTGTTAGAGCTACCTTTTTTAGGGTTCACAGATACCCTTTTGGCAGTTGGGATTTATACAGGGTTTAGGGTTTACCAGTAGGACTTGCACTGCCAGCCATCCGTCGCAACTTGCGGGAGTTTTGCACAACCCTCTGTGCGCTCAGTCAAGAGCCATAAACCCTAAAACCGTGAGCCCTAGACCCTAAAACCGTAAACCCTAAAACCCTGAACCCTAAATCCTAAAACCCTAAACCCTAAAACCCTACACCCTAGACCCTAAAACCCTAGACCCTAAACCCTAAAACCCTCACATCTTCCAGAGCCTCGGCCTCTGCTGCGGGTGCGTTCCTGGATCCACGACCAACGGGCAGAAGTGCGCCGACTACTGCTGGGCGGAGGTTGTGGCAGGCGGCAGACCGCTCCTGGGGAGCAGGCCGCGGTTCCGCACACCGTTGTGCCCACGGTGGCTTTTCCTCGGCAGGTGCCCCCGCCACCGCCACCGGCGATCATTCCGGAGCCTCGCGAGGCAAACCGCCTTCGGCAGGCCATGTTCGATTCTGCCGTAGACGGTCATTTCTCTGGTTCAGGAGATCTTGACATGCCAGGTGAGATGGCAGATGCAAGGGCGGCATTGCACAGGTCGAAGGAAGAACGGTGGTCGACCTTGTGGCTGCGTAGCTACTGGAGATACTCGGGTCATCGTGCTAATGGGATGGATCGGGAGTACCCTGTCCTGAGTTCGCTGTTGGACTCGTTCCGGAACAAGGCCTGGTGGGAACATGAGAAGAGCAACCCATGGGGGCTCAAGCATGTGCAGCATTATGCCAGGCTCATGTTGATTGAGACCAAGATGAATGATACCAGCAAAAAAACAACATTCTCGTCTAAGTAGCTCGTATAGTAGCCCTTACCCTAATAGCCCATAGTAACAGTTACAGTAGCTCGCAAATGAGCCCTTACAGCATCCCTTCAAAGAGCGCTTATAGCAACCCTGCAAGGAGCCATTCTAGCAAGCCTCACAGGCCCCCAGTACAAGAAATGAGTACAGTAATATAGGGGCCTTAATAATGACCTATACCATTTTGGGGTTCCTTATTGTAGTTATAGTTATAATATACCCCAAAACCCTAGTCTAATTATTCAGGCTCCTAGACCGTAAACCCTCACAGTATCCCTTATAGAACCCTTTAAGGAACCCTGAAAAGGAACCCCAAAACCCTATTCTAATTCTTCACGCCCGTCTATAGTAGCCCAGGTTACATTTGCTCCCGGTGGTGGAGAGCTCCGGAGCTGATCTTCGGGGCCTCCCGCTATGGCACCAGCGTCGAGCCTTCCCTTTGTTTAGGGTTTAGGGCTTAGGGTTTAGCGCTTAGGGCTTAGGGCTTAGGGCTTAGGGTTTAGGGTTTAGGGTTGAAAACCCTAACCCCCCAGGTGCCTACTATATAGGGCCCTAGGGGCTCTAGTACCTTATATAGTAGGTACCTGGGGGGTTAGGGAAAGATTGTTGGGTATTGCTGGTTTCGTTCATGTGTGTGAGAGTGTTGTTTAAATGGTGTTTGTTTTTGTTGCTCAGTGTTTAGAGGTGTTGTCATAAGGTTCATTTACGGCGCAGCTAAAAGGCAGAGAGACTTCCGCAAAACACAGAGCTATCGTTGTCTGCATGTTCCTTCGTGAAACGCTGCGGCTGAGTGTTGAGAGATCTCAAGCGACTTACATTCTCTAGCTTCAACATCAAACAGCCAGTCTCGAGCTATGGGCTACTTGGAGGTTGGGTGTGTGTGTGTGTGGGTGAGCGATACGGGGGTGGTCACCATAGAGCCTAGACTCAGACGCCCTAGACCCTATGTAACTGTCCTATACTATGCCCACGAAACCCCTTAAACCCAACAAGCACTAAGCCCTAAGCCCCATAAGCCCTAAGCCGTATATAGACCCAAAGCCTTACACACTAAACCCCATAAGCCCTATAAGCCCTAGGCCCTCAACCGTAAACCCCTAATTCTTAAGCCCTAAACCGTAAACCCGATAAGCCCTAAACCCGAAACCCTGAGCCCTATAGGCCCTAAGCCCCAAACCGAAAACCCCATATGCCCTATAGACCCGAAGCCCGAAGCCGTAAACTCGATAAGCCCTAATCCCTAAACCCTAAGCGCTCTAGACCCTAAGCCCTAAACCGTAAACCCCATAAGCCCTAGAGACCCTAAGCCCTTAACGGTAAGCCCCATAAGCCCTATGGACCCTAAGTCAACCCTATAAGCCCTAAACCCTAAGCCCTATCGACCCTAAACCCTAAACCGTAATCACAATAAGCCCTATAGACCCTAAGCCCTTAACCGTAAACCCTAGAAGGTTTAGAGACCCTAAGCCCTATCGACCCTAAACGCCGAGAAACCCTACAGGCCCCAAGTCCTAAACCCTAAACTCTCGACTCATTGGTCTCAGTAGTTCGCCCTTCGGAAGAGGAACGACGCTCGCTTCCTCAGCACTGATTATAGTTGGACTAGCAATAAAAGGCTTCACAGTAACAGCAAGAAGAGGAGGACTAACAGCTGTTAAGCACAATGAGATTGTTTCTAGTATCAGTAATAACAAGACTAGTATTACTAGTAATATACTAGCAGTAATAATAACAACAATAATGTGCAGGGGGGGCGGTGGGATACTTAGTAATATCTTTTTTCTTTAGGGGGCCTTCTGATAGTCATGGCATGGTATGCCCAACTTAAACCTTATTCCAATACTCAGAGACTTACCCCGAAGCTACAACCTGTACATCCTAAACCCGAAACCCTAAACCCCAAACCCTGTACACCCTAAACCCGAAGAGCCATGAACCCTGAGCGAGAAAAGCTCCATCCACCCCAAACCCAGAGCCCCAGAAATCCGCATAGGGACGCTTTAAAGGAACCCTATTCAAACTCTTCTAAGGCCCCTAGACGATGGAACTCCTATAAGAACCCCTTATCTTCATAGAAACGCTTTATGGTCACCCTTTACATAGGCGCCCTTAATAGAAACCCTCTGAATCTTAAGTACCTATATAGTAGAATGTAGGGTTTCTAGGGTTAGGGTTTAGGGTTGGGGTTTAGGGTTTTTCCGTATCAGGAATACTTACTATGATTCGGGAAAGTAACCCCCATGGCAGTACCTAGGACCCTTTGGGTAGGAACCCTAAGCCCTAAACCCTAAACCCTAAACCGGAGCCCTCAGAGGACTGGTGGTCCTGCGGCTGCATCACAGCCGAGATGATGCTTGGGCGTCCGCTCTTCACTGGCGAGTCAAGTTGGGGGCAGATGTACGCCGCTGTTCCTGGTGTTAATCTGGGCCGGGGTCTTCAGAATCTACGGTTGAGGGTTTAGGGTATCTAAATTGGGGGCAGATGTATGCCATAGGGCGTCGGGCGAGCAGTTTATTTCCCTGGGTTCTGGAAGAAGTGGTAGCTGAGAGGATAACCCGGGTCTGCACCATTGACATCCTCTAGGACCGATTCTAGACGAATGTATGTACTAGTGTACCCTGATGGTTAAACCCCTCCCCCAGACATAGGGGTTCCGGGAGTGAGGCACATGTAAGGTAGCGAGCATACGCAGAAGTGCACTTATGGGGCAAGAGGTGCGGGTCAGGTTTCATGGTTGAGGGTACAATTTTCGAAAAAACTGGTATAGCCCGCTAGATATATCTCGTTTTGCAGCCTGCATACAAAGTCTCGGACGCCGCTAAGCTTAAACATGAGATCATGTGTTTCTGTGCCACAAAGCTGCGGCCTAGGGTTTGCAGCTACAAAGTGACAAGGTAAACCCTAAACCCTGAACCCGGAACCCTGGGACCCTAAACCCCTAAACCCTAAACCCTAAGATGAAATCAGTTTACGACCTTTTGGGGCCTCTTGCAGACAGTCCTCCCTGGTCTCAGCGAGATGCTCGGGTTATTGCATGACGTGGATGGCAGGTTCAGGGCCGAAATTGAGGTTTAGGGTTTAGGGTTTAGTGTTTAGGGTTTAGGGTTTAGTGTTTAGGGTTTAGGGTTTAGGGCCATATACTCTCATAAAAACTAACCTAAAGTTCCTAAGCCCCAGTACTTAACCGCTAGGTACTTTTAAGATTTGGGGATGGTGAACCCGCGGCTGTTGCTGGGAGGCTATGACCTCCCGGGTGCTTAGAGAACCCCCTTGGGGCACCAAGCGCGTCCGCAGGATCCAATAGCCTGCAGCTTCAGGGATTTCCCCGAAACCTACGTTTGGGGCCTTATCTATCAATAGTGAGAATAGGGTTTTGGGGCCCACTATACTATCATTATAATACGCCCCCCCCCTCCCAAAAAAAAGAAAAATAAAATAGTGTAAGTAGTCATTGAGGCCCCTACGTTACGCAAAAATTACAGGATATTACAGGTAAACATTGTCATCGTAAACACGAACACTCTGAGCCTCAACAGCACAGTCCTGAGACATTAAAGGCTTAAGCCCTAGACGTGGAAGTCCACGGTCTTCAAACTCAAAAACCCCTAAACCCTAAACCCCTAAACCCCTAAACCCCTAAACCCTAAACCCCAAACACTTGGCCCAATTTCTACAAAGCTTGGGCATGTGCGCTACACCCCTAATCGCCCGCCGGAGACCCTAAACCCTAAACCCTAAAACCTAAACCGCGAACCCTGGGACCCTAGACCCTGAACCCTAAACCCTAAACCCTAAACCCTAAATCCTGAACCCTGAACCCTGAACCTGGGACCCTGGGACCCTGGGACCCCGGGACCCTATAGTGTAGGGTTTAGGGTTTAGGGTTTAGGGTTTAGGGTTTAGGGTTTAGGTAGACAGTAAACCCTGACCCTAAACCCTAAACCTTAAACCGTAAGCTACTAGTACTCAGACCACCGGGAGGATCCAAAGAATAGATCCCCTAAGGGGTTCCTCTAAAGTACCCTGTAGTAGTTGGGGTCCCAAATTAGGGGATCTACTTTTCAGATCCTCCCTAAACCCTAAACCTCAAACCCTAAACCCCTAAACCCTAAACCCTAAACCCCAAACCCTAAACCCTAAACCTTAAACCGTAAGCCACTGGTACTCGAGGAGATCGTCCGGGCATTAGGCACCCCGACATTGGAGGAGGTCGAAGCCATGCAGGCAAGAAGGGGGGGTCGGTTTAGGGATTAGGGGGTTCGGGTTTCGGGCGCAATCGGTTCAGGGATTAGGGTTTCGGGTTTAGGGGTTTAGGGTTTAGGGTTTAGGGCGCAATCGGTTCAGGGATTAGGGCTTATAGGGTTTAGGGATTCGGAATGGCGCCAAGACGAATTAGGGTACAGTACTCTCCGGCCCACCCTTAACCATGTAAGCACTATAGATCTGAAGTCCCATGATCCCTCAAGTAAGCCCTAAACCAGAACCCTGAAGCGGCTGGGGAAACAAGGCGAAACTAATCTCATGCACCAGTTGCGGACGCCTCAAGCAAGTCGAATAAGACCCCCTCATGCAAGGGTTTGGAGTTCAGGTTTCAAGGATTTTGCTGACCTGCAGGGATGAGCTTGGGTTTCACGGCTTTTTCTTTGCAGCACCCGGGCACAAAGACGAGGAAGAGCCCTGAAGGCAATAACAAAGCGCTGAGGCGGTTTAGGGTTTGATAGGGTTTAGGGTTTAGGGTTTAGGATTTAGGGTTTAAGGTTTAGGGTTTAGGGTTTAGGGTTTAGGATTTAGGGTTTAGGGTTTATAGGGTTTAGGCTTTAGGGGTAACATCTTGTAGCCCCCCTGCTGAGCCCAAAACACTGAGGGAACTCTCTTCCAAAGCACCCGAAACTTGGACGAAACAAGCCAAGAAGAGTTACAAATAGAAGTTGTGTGTATGTTGGCCCAAGCCCGAACTCAAACAAGACATTTCAAAGAGAGTCATTGGTTAGTTGGGTATCTGAGAGTCCGGTGGCGATTGAACACTTCTAGTATTTTTGTTTACAGGATTGTTTGCCCGGAATTTTTCCGGGATTCTGTTTCCAAGATCCTGTTTCCGGGAGTCTGTTTCCAGAATGAATCCCTTGTCTCGATTCTAAATCCTAACCTTAACCTACCAAAACCTAGTTTTTTGCAGGCCCTTACTATAAACCCTAATATGGGATTTATAGGGGCCCTACAAAAAAGTGGGTTATGGTAGGTTAAGGAATGCCTACGCAATAACACCTCAGCCCGACCCCCAAATCGCAAGCCCCAAACCTTCAATCCTAAACCCAGGGTTTAGGGGTTGAAGGTATACACCCTGAACCAAAAAATCCCTAAACCCTAGACCCCGAACCCTCAACCCTGAACCCCTAAACCCTGAAACCCTACATCCCAAATCAAACCCTGAGGGTCCAAGTACTTGATAATCATGTACTCTTCTGAAAACCAACCTACAAAACAACTACTATCCGTAACCCCAGTACATGATGATTAGGGCCTTTGCCCTAAACCCTAAACCCTAAACCCTAAACCTAAAACCGTGGCCTTTGGACCCTTAGGGAAAATTCGAGGCCGGCGGCGATTGCCGACTGGCCGGGCACTTTGCAAAGCTGGCGGAGCTTGAGCGACCAGCGTCCGCCTGGGAGGACCGGAGCGTGTTGGGTTGAGGGTTGAGGGTTAGGGGTTTGGGGTTGAGGGTTGA